AAGAAAAAAAGAAACAAACAAAAAGATAAAGGTAAAAAAATGAAGCAACACATGGTTGTTATTTTGTAAAGATCATAAATCTCTGTTTATAAGATGAAATGGGAAAAACAACTGCCACAAGGTTATGCCACAGGTACTTGTGGCTCAGGCAAGATTTCTGGGGACAGCACCTAGTACTTCCAGTGAGGAGTGCAGGTGTGATGGACACAGGGCCTTCGGGCTCTTCCACAAGGTCTGAATAAAATTCCAGGAAATGGGACCATGGGAGGAAGCAGTTTTTCTAAGTTGATAAAATAGTCTTATATAGCATAATTTTAAACAGGAATGTGTAAGTCACTCTAAGTTCTAAAAGGAAATATTTGAGTGTTTTATTTGTATCTTTAAAACGTTACATATGTGAGTAGGCAAAAACCTCTTTTAGTTGCAAATATGGAAATTTTCTTTATCTTTCAGGTCAACTTATTTTTTGTTTTTATTTTTTTATGGTACCTGTGTGTAAGCCCAGGGCCTCACACATGCTAGGGCAATGCTTTATTGAGCTACCCCTTCAGCCAGGTCAGTATATTTTTAGACATATAAGGGACTTACTCCAAACTACCATGCTATACCATGCCATAAGCAATATATATACTATCTAATCCCTTAAGGTTACAATCTTTACTTACCTAATACTTAACTACATTAGTATATGTGTTGAATTTGTTAATTGAATGAATATACCCTCCATGAGTTTACTGAAACATGGTTACCCAAGCTTAAGTTACCCAAGGAATATGTTTTTCTTACCTTTGTGAGAGTTGTAATCCGGTTTCTGCCAGAGGTTGTACAGTATTGGCAAACCAAAAGCTATCTTTAGATGAATTATTTCCCAGAAGATATCTATTATATACTCCCTATAAGGAGATTAACACAAGTAGTTAAAATTCATTGGAAATTGTCCTTCAACAATATAATCGGTTTTTCTGTGATTGCTCAGCTATGTGGGACGCTAGACTCACGGGGTAAGATGGAAATTAGACTACTAGTGCTGTAAACTTGTATGCAAGGGTAACTGTACTCCTTCCTCTAAGCTGAAGAACTAATTCATCATATAGTTAAAACATTTTCATCTAGCAGAAGTATAACTGGACACCAGACCAAACTCGAGAATGATCTCAGAAGTTCCCTAAGACACCAAGCCTGCAACACACGTCATCTTTAAGGGTCACTACCTCCCCTTCACAGCGTTGGTAAAATGAAAGAAACAAGAATGAGATTTCAGCTTTTCTGTGCAGTCTCTGAAGCAACAAGGCGAGTGGGTCACCTTCAGCCAGGTCCTCAGGGCAGCAGCGCCTGGGGGTCTGTCCTCAGGCTGTTTGACGTACAACAAAATGTATGCATGTTGAAGATGTATGAAGGTTGTGAACAATGTTTTTCAAGAACTTAACCACAGAAGATAACTGAAGAAAATTGCATGTAATAAGATAGCTGCAAGTGAATGTACAAGTCCTTCAGCAATTGTTAAAAATACTTCATTGTTAAAAAATAAATCCTGCTGCGATTACTGGGGGAGCCATCATGCCTAGCAATATAACCAAACTTTTAGAATATAGGATGAGCTGTTACATAGTTATTTCTTAGAAGACTTTTCATTGTTCAAGGATGGTTAAATTCTGAGAACGGGAAAATAACCATCATTTTCTTTATTCCTTCTTTCCCCATTTTTTTTTAGAATCTCTTTTTTATTGTTCTTCTAAATCTTAATCTTAACAAAGTATCTCAATTTATTAAACTCATTAAGATTTAAAGTATCTAGAAAGTGGATTAATGTAAAGAAAGCATTTGTTTAGCTTAAAATGCAAATAAGAAACAAAATTTATGCTCAATTTCCTCTCATAATTAATCACATAAATAAGATACAGAAAATGGAAATTTAGAGGCTGGCCAAATAGCTCAGTAGGTTAAATCACCTGTAAGCAGGTGCAGGGGACAGGGGTTCAATCCCCAGGCCTGCCATACTGGCCCCACCGCTGGGGCTCACTGAGACAGCAGTCGAGACTGGGCATGGTGGTGCACTCCTGTAATCCCAGCTCTTGGGAGGCTGTAAACAGGCAGATCACTACAAGTCTAATCTAGTAGTGAGACCCTGAACACCCTATAGACCTTTTCCTAAGATACAAAAAAAAAAAAAAAAAGAAAAGAAAAGAAGTTTGTATCCATTTATTTACTCATAAACATATTGAAGACTACAACATGCTACGTACTGTACAGGCCTCAGATAATTCTTTCCTCATTAATAAAGAGCTTTTTAGTCTGCAGCAGAGATCATCAAAAGATCTTACAGTTTGTTATACACTGTATAGTCAGTAAATAGCCAATTCTCATGATTTTTCTTTGGTTTGTCATTATATATGTTTGTCTCTCCATTTTATAAGTTTATTATATATAAAAGTGATAATAAATTTTGCTAAAGTTTTTAATTTTACATTTTTTAGAGAATCAGAATAGTAAAAAATAAGAAATGATACAGAATTTCACTAAACAAAATGACAGGAATTCAAAAATGGTTGTTACATTGCATATTGTTGTGTTCAAATTAGTTGTTCAGATGACCAGATATACACATGCAAAATTGATTGAAAAATTAAAAAGAATAAAAACAATTTAAACATTAACTTTCCTTTCAATAGACCAGTACAAATCAGCAGTACAATTATCCAAGCGATCCTGTGTACACACATAATACATTTTTTTTCTTTCTTCTTTCTCTTCTCCTTTCCCTCAACCCAGTTGTTTCTTCCCTTGAATAGTTTCTTTGCCTTTCACAGTATTTATTGTATCTTTCATATTTTAAAGATTTGTTTTACTAACACTTTTCTGGAGCTGGGCATGGCAGTACACCCCATGGTAGTACAATCCCAGCTCTCAGAAGGCAGAGGCAGAAGGGTCACTGCCAGTGTGAGCCAGCCTAAACCACACAGCAAGAGTTTCTGTCAAAATAAAAAGTCCTATTCTATAAAATCTGTATTTATTCATACCTCATACTTATTATGAAATGCAAAATGTCTAGGATAACAAAATATTAACACCATACAGACCAGAAAATATTTTTAATATTACATTAGTAAAAAGTGGTGAAATTCATGTTTAAAAAAATTACCTGTGCTATTCCAGCCAATTTAAAATATGAAAGTGCAAGAAAGAAATTCCAGTTAGGAAGAATAGGATTAACTCCTCTGCGGTGGCAATATATTGAAATCAATTCTTCCATTGATGGTATACCTACAAACATAGCACATAATACAAGCTTTAAAAAAATCATGAAAAATATTTCAGAAAGTTATAATTCAGCATATATATAAAACAAAATATAATAATCAAAATCTAGACAATATGACATGTTCTAAATATTGATTCTGAAAAGAACCTTATATGCAAAAGACTATTTCATCATTAATCACTATGAGTAGAAATGCTAAATTCAAAAAATTAAAATTAATTAGAAACATCTTCAAAAACATAAACTATCTAAAATTATAATATTATTAAAGAGAATTTTGTTTTAAGGGCAATTTTGAAAGCATAATGCTTTTGTACCTATGATTCCCTGGATAGGAGAACCTCCATTTATCATGGGCAGTGTCTTTGGCCAAAAGTAGAACAGAGAAAGATGCGCTAAGTCTGACAAAGGATGACCAATGGTTGATAGTTCCCAATCCAGTACTGCTATCACTCGAGCCTGTAATGAAAAATAAAGAAGATCTCCAACATATTAAAATTCAAAATATTAAAATAAGGATACAGATGAAAGAGGAGTCATTAACTAGCCTGGAATATGGTGCACCATATTCTTTGGTTTCATTATGAGACACCAAGCCTTCTGTCTTTTACTTTACACTGCCTTAACATGTCCATTAATGAGGTAAAGCAAAAGTAGCTGAACTCCTCACCTGGTAGGAACTGTAGCAATAAGAAATTCTATTGACTAATTATATGTCAAGAATTCATGTATAGCCATGTCTCGTGGTACAAGCCTGTAATCCCAGCATTCAGGAGGTAGGACAGGAGGACTGCTATGAGTTCGAGACCAGCCTAAACTACATAGCAACACCCTGTCTCAAATAATCACAAAAAAGAATTCATGTTTAATTAAGCAATTGTTCTAGTGATGGATATAACTACATAAAAATTACACCATTATGCAGCAATATTTTTTCCTTGGTATTGAGATTTTCATATAGAAAAGTGACAAGGCATGATTTTTCATTCTGAAAGGCTCACTCCAGACATTACGATCTGCATAGACTCTAAGAGGGTAGGGGAGGAGACAGCTTTAATTACTCAGGCATGTAATCCAAGTCAGATAAAACAGCGGAGCCCATTTGGGCAATGGAAATTACTGGGTTTCATGCCACCAAGAACTCTATGTGCCTGTACTCGTTTGCCTCTCTGGAGAACTCATAACTATCACTGTAGCTTTGTCAGAAACTGTGGCCTTAGAAACAGGCAGACCCATATTTAAATTCTAGCTCTGTCATTTACTGGCTATGTAAGTCTGGACAGGTCAGTGACACTCCCACTTTTCTCGTCCAGAAAGTACTTGGCTTATACAAGGTTAGCGTAAAGAGCCAGTAAGTAAAGGCAGATAGCTTATCTGTCCTGTTTATCAGTTCCTAGCAAATCACCTGGCACACACTAGGTGACTAACATGTATTTATTCAGTGAATAAGTATAGAGTTTGAAACAGAAATTTGCTATGGAAAAAACTGGTCAGCCCCTTTTCTACGATTTGATTTTATAAGACCTTTTTTATTTTATGAAAAAAGAAAAACAAAATTCCATAACAAAACATTAGGAGAATAATAAGTTAATACATTGCATATTTTTATCTTTAAAGTAGTTATTCAGGTTTAAGATATGAGGGTGGTTAAAATTTTCTCCAGGTGGCATTAGCACAGATCTACCCTTTCAACGAACTAAGAGATGTTAAGAATAACTGACTTGCTGTTTGATTTCTTTTTTCTCTTTCATTCTTTCCCCTCTACCCCACTCGAACTCCCTCTGCCCTTTGAACATTTTCTTCTTATCTCATAGTATCTATCATACATTTCAGACCTTATTAACTCTTTCAGTTTTTTATACCAGGGAGACGACACGATGTTTACACACGTGAGTCTCATTTATTTCCCTTATGACCGCAGCCTTAAGCTGCATCCATTCACCTACGAAAGTGTCAAGTTTATCCTTCTTGAAGGCTGAGCAGCACTCTATTGTATAAAAATACCACATCTTTTTTTATCGATCTGCATAGACTCTAAGAGGGTAGGGGAGGAGACAGCATCCTGAGGGATGGACATTTGGGTTGTTTCTAAAATGTAGCTATGACCAAGTGCACTGCTACAAACCTCAGAGCACATGTACTGCTGTGCTATGATGTTCTTTAATTCTCCTGAAAAGACACTAAAAAGGGGAATATCTGAGTCAAATGGGACCACCAATCCTCACTTTCTGAGGAATCTCCAAGTAATTTCCACAGCGGTTGCATCAGTCTGCACTCTTACCAACAGTGACAAGGGCTTCTCTTTCCTCATAGTCCCCCCAGCATTTGTTGTTGGTTGATTTCTTAATCACAGCCATTCTTTCCGGGGTGAGATGGAATATTGTGTTGTTTTAATTTGCATTTCTCAAGTGACCAATGATGTTAATCACTGTTTCATATATTGATATACCATTTGTATTTCTTCATCTAAAAAGCACATAGTCATCTCAAATGCCCATTTATGATTGGGTCATTGAATCTGGGGTATCTAATTCTTTTCAATTCTTTATATGTTATAGATAGAAGCCCTTTGTCTGAGGGATAACTGGTTAAATGTTTTTTCTAAAATTTTTTACCATTGTGAGTTGTCTTTTTACTCCGTTGGTGATTTCTTTTGATGTGCAAAAGCTTTTTAATAAGATGAGATCACAGTTGTTGATTCTTTGAATTGTATTTCATGCAAAGATCTTTTAGTTTTGTGGTTATATTACAATATAAGCTTCTAAGCTCCCTGATTGTTAAACTGTATTAAAAATGGATGTACTTTTCCTCTTACAGCATTCTATTTGTTACTTATCTTCTCAACATTCAAAGGTGAGACATTTCACTATACTAGAAATGCTTATTTTTAAATTGGAGTTTTCTGAAGTTTTAAGATATCTGAAAGATTTCTTGAATGGTTAGTCAGAAAAGTTGATGGCTCATCAAATGGTATCAATTAGTGTTCAATAATTTACAATAATTAGAATCTTGCCAACACATGTGTATTCATGCCTATAGAAAGCTTAGCATAACTCCTAGTGGGTAAAATAAATATTTACTATACATCTGCCTGGAAGTGAAGACACTATTAAAATTATTTTCAATAGTTTTCTGAAATCTCAGCACAATGAAAAGCTTTCATTTTGTTGATTATCTTCTACAGAGATGATAATTTTTATGTGTGTATTGCTCGCACTGCTGAATTTGATTAAATAAGTGTATTACTTTTCAAAGCAAAAGAAATATGCAATTCATCAGAATAAACTGTAGATTAAAGGAGGTAATAAAATAATAGGATGTTTAATAAATAGGCAGCTAGGAGTGAGTTTGTTACATAAAATTCAATGTCAGAAGTCCTATGTAGTTAAAATAGGCAGTAAAATTTATTGTGACTTTTCTTATAGAAAAATGAAGCAAGAAGCACGACCAGCCACAATACTTAGACTAGTGCATGTAGACTATAAACAACACAGCTGATCAAGAGACACTTTTTTTGGCAATGAGACTTAACAAAATGTCATTAACTAATCCACGTGAAGGGGAGATTGCGTAGAGGCTGAAGCCTTCCACAATATCAAAAGGTTTCCCTAGAGAGCAGCTGTGCTGGTGGTGACTAGAAGGAAGGAGGCTAGTGAAAGGCCAGACCACGTGCTCACAAGGCAGACCAGATGGACACCAGCAACTTTTTTTTTCAATGTATTTAGTACAGGGTCTACAGGGCCTCACTAGATTGGATTCATAGAGATTCTCCTGTTTTCAGCCTCCCAAGCGCTGGGATTACAGGCATGCACCATCACATCCAGTCTCAATCTGTCTCAGCTTACCTCTGAGGGTGGGGTCAGCGCGGCACTCTGGGGATGAACCCTGGCTGCTGTGCTCTGCTGAAGCAAGCACTTTAGTCCGCTGAGCTATCTAGCTGGCCTAAAAGTCACATATTTTATCAAGAGATGAAGTTATTGTTGAGGTGAAACTATGCAGCAAATTATCATGACCCTAATTCAGAGTTGGAGAGTGCTTACTGTCAAGCTAAGAAGATTAGGTCATAATAAATGACCTAAAGTCAGGAAACTTTGTAATTCTCATAGCATTTTTTATATCCACAATCCAGAACCATTAATTAAATTGATAGTGAAGTAAGTAGCATTTGAAATTATGGATCATGGCCATGTGTCCCCGCGGGGTAAGAGGCAAACTGAAGTCACGAAGGGCTCCTACAGCCTAATATAAGAACAATTAAATTGATAGCATCTCAAAAGAGTTATAAATAAATAGAGGAATAGAATATGAAAAGAATATACTG